ATGCGTTCACATCAGAGAGGATAACTTCCAATCGGTTATAGCGCTCACAGGGTTCTCACTTTCTCCATATACTATCTATTTCTTCACATCCAGCTTTAATTAATCAGTCACAATCCTTCTGGGGAGATGCTATCCCTTATCTACAGAAGTAGCACAAGACACACTCCCCTCTCAGATATCCTGGCTCTTTGATTCTGTTGTTTCCTACTGTAGTTTTGAGCGAAACACAGGAACAGCAAAACTCTAGTCGGTCACTCTTATTCGTTTCTCATATACAAGAAAGCGCGTTTAATTTTCCAGGAGACTGCTAACATAATTTAGCAGAGCTCATAAATAACGGTTAAAATCAACTAAATTTATTTTTATTTTAAAGTAAGAACATTCATCTTCGTTCACTCACACTGGTTAAAGTTGTTTATATTGCACTTACCCATACAAAATGTTATGATAAAAATACCTATAAATATCAACAACAGCATAACAACAACATGTAAATGTCGCACATGCAAAGGATTAAAACAGGCTGTCGTTGTAGCACGAGGTATATCGTGTTACCTTCTCTCATTCAAAGGTCTTATTTAACTGGTTCACACTGGTTAGACTTGATGAGCAAACAAATCGCAAAGCACAGTAGCACGTAAAAAATACAGATTTTTATTGGTTTGCGACAAATTAACAATTTTTGATTTCCTAAAACATATTAGTTTTAGTGAACAACAATTACAATTTCGTTTTTCATTATGATGTAAAAATGTTCTTATAAATGTGTTTCCAGGTAGTTTATACCGAGATGCACTGGAAAAACAGTCGTCTCTAAAATTTCCAAGGCTTTCAACTTAACTAATGGGGACTTTTGGTTTTCCAAGTGATTTACCTTCAAAAATTCTTCCCTCCACTCGGCTCACAGTTGCATAAGTTGGGCAGCCAAGTGTGCAACAGCTGTAGACTGAAGTATCTGAGAGGTTGAAGCTGTAGTTCAGTGTGCCGCTGCCTCTCAGGTGAGGACAACGCCCTGTAGGTCGGTAATCAGAGACGTGCTTTCCAACTTTATCT